CCTGGACCACTGATTCTGAATCCAGTGGGTCAGCTTTCTCCTTCTCAGGGTTCCTTAGGTTTCCTAAGTCTTCCCTGATTACAGAGGTGTCAACAAGATGAAAAACAAGAATGCTCAAGTAGGGACCAGCAGGTTAGGGTTAGGGCTCTGGACTCCCACATGGCCAACCACGGTTCAAATCCCAGGCCTGGTGGCTTGCTTTCTTATGTTCTCTCTCTCCCTCTGTCTCTCTCTGCTGAGTGCACAAGTCCTATAGGAAATTAAATAATGATAATAAATAATAATAATAAATAAAATACAAATCTTTTTTAACTGTACAGTTTCTACTTACTTAGGATGGGATAGTTTAATGCACCAAAAAGGAAAGTCTTCACACTTAAGTAAATTTACCTACCACCTAAAACTGACCAGTCTTTATAGTAATTTATACACAGTGAACACCAACTTCTCCACAGGATTCTCAATACGATCATGCTTATTAAATTCTTCAAATTAGTAGGACTTCTACAGTATGAAATCTCTAATATCTTATATTTTGCATTTTCTTCCTGTAGGCATTTTTTAGTTCACAGTGAGTAGTCCTTTCTGAAAGAACTCTTCCACTTACATGTTAAATCAATGTATTTTTACCCTATTTAAGTTTCCTTAATATTGATATTTAATAAGCTGTGACTTTTAACTAAAAGCTCCTGTACTACCAAAATAGTATTTTCACCACGATGAGTCATCTAATGTGTAATGAGCTGTCTCAGAACAAAGCCTTTCTACATTGTCCACTTTTAAAAACTTCTCTCCTTTCTGAATTAAGTGACTCCTGATTCCCCAGTTACGGCGGTTCAGTAGTCACTGCTTCAGCAGATCTCCTCTCCGTTGTGTGCCCTCAGAAGTGTTACAAGGTCTGGAGTCAGCCATGGACTTTCCACATTCACCGAACCTATATGGTCTCTATATTATATGATTTCTTTGATGCCTCAAAAGCTGTGACTTCCTATTGAAGGTGGTCCCACATTCGCTGCATCCATAGTATTTGTCTTCTGTATGGACCAGGCCTGGTGGCTTGCTTTCTTACTTTCCCTCTCTCCCTCTGTCTCTCTCTGGTGAGTACACAAGTTCTATAGGAAATTAAATAATAATAATTAATAAATAAATAAAACACAAATCCTTTTTAACTGTACAGTTTCTACTTACCTGGGATAGGCTAGTTTAATTCACCAAAGAGGAAAGTCTTCACACTTAAGTAAATTTACCTACCACCTAAAACTGACCAGTCTTTATAGTAATTTATACACAGTGAACACCAACTTCTCCACAGGATTCTCAATACGATCATGCTTATTAAATTCTTCAAATTAGTAGGACTTCTACAGTATGAAATCTCTACTATATAATTTGTATTTTCTTCCTATAAGCATTTTTTAATCCACAGTGAGTAGTCCTTTCTGAAAGAACTCTTCCACTTACATGTTAAATCAATGTATTTTTACCCTATTTAAGTTTCCTTAATATTGATATTTAATAAGCTGTGACTTTTAACTAAAAGCTCCTGTACTACCAAAATAGTATTTTCACCACGATGAGTCATCTAATGTGTAATGAGCTGTCTCAGAACAAAGCCTTTCCACATTGTCCCCTTTTAAAAACTTCTCTCCTTTCTGAATTAAGTGACTCCTGATTCCCCAGTTACGCCTGTTCAGTAGTCACTGCTTCAGCAGATCTCCTCTCCTTTGTGTGCCCTCAGAAGTGTTACAAGGTCTGGAATCGAACCATGGACTTTCCACTTTCACTGAACCTATATTGTTTCTATATTATATGATTGCTTTGATGCCTCAAAAGCTGTGACTTCCTATTGAAGGTGGTCCCACATTCGCTACATCCATAGTATTTGTCTTCTGTATGGATCCTTTGATGCCTCATTAGGTGTGATTTTCTACTGAAAGATTTCTCACATTCACTACATTTTAGGGTCGCTCTCCTGTATGAATTCTCTGAGCTGTGCCTTCTCAAAGAAAGCTTTGGCACAATCACTGCATCTATAGGTTTTCTCTCCTGTATGATTTCCCTGTGTTTAATGAGTAGCACTTTCTGAACAAATGCTTTTCCGCATTCAATACATTCATAGGATTTCTCCCCTGTGTGAATTCTCTGATGCTTAAGGAGCTGTGGCTTCCAGGCAAAAGCTTCTCTGCATTCAGTACATTCAAAGGGTTTCTCTCCAGTGTGTGTTCTCTCATGATAAGTAAGAATTGACTTTCCACTGAAAGTTTTCCTGCATTCACTGCAGTCACAAGGTTTCTCCTCAGTGTGTGTTCTCTGGTGTGTTAGGAGCTGTGACTTTCCAAAGAATGTTTTTCCA